CACCCAGCCAACTCCGTGTTGCCTATATTTATGAAACTGCAGAAATAACCCCAACCATTGTGGCTCCATCAAGCTCAATCCCAGCATCCTCCAGATCCCTAAAGAAACCAAGTGATGCCTTCGGACGCCTAGTCTGTGCATAACCATTAATCATTGCCGTCCGAGCCCCATGAGATTCTTTGCCAGCATTTTGTCAAACACTCGCGCGCATTCTGCACCAACTCGCACTTACAATAGCCAGCATTGGACTGCCCCTACACTCATATTACTGATGCCGCTAAAATCCTGACAGCTAAGTTCAAAAATCTCAGAGCTGCTTTTAAAGCCTGGAAGGCAACTCTCTCTGACCTGAAAATTGCAATTAGCAATGTGAAGCTTGTGCTAGTTTTTTTTGCAGATAATTGAAGAATTCAGGGACATAACAATTCCAGAGTGAAATTTTTTAAAATCTGTTAGAGCTTGAGCTTGAGAGCCTTTTAAAGCAACAAAAAGCTTACTGGAAGCAAGTAGGGTAGATTAAGTGGGTGACTGTAGGGGATGCAAGTACAAAAAAATTTCATGCTCATGCCGCAATTAAGTACAGAAAGAATCTGGTTACTTATCTGGAAAATGAAGTTGGGGAATCTATTTATGGACACCAACACAAGGCAGAGTTGATTTGGTTGGCTTTCAAAGACAGGTTGGGGGTTTCAAAGACAGGTTGGGGCTTTCAAAGTACAGTAAGATCTTTGCCTTCTAATAAGGACCCAGGCCCTGATGGGTTCAATACAGACTTTGTTAAGAAATGTTGGCCCATTATTTGTGAAGACTTCTACAGGATTTGTAATGATTTATATAATGTTAATATATGTCTGCAATGTTGGCCCACAGTTAGCCTCCCGACCACCGAGATGGCCTCCAGACCACTCCGTTGGTCTCACAGGATCACCGGCTCACGACAGTGAACCACTCCAGCCGATCTTGCCAAGCACCGGCTCAGGCGAGTGGAGCACTTGACGGTCTCGCCGAGCACGCACTAGTGTTGCCGAGCACCCACTAGCCGTGCAGACCACGTACCGGCGTTGTCCGTACCCACACACTACGGACGAGCTTAGAAGAAGAAGGGAGAACAGAGCAAGCACGCACAATACAAGACAACAGCGTTGGCCGAGGTCCTGTCTGTGTGATGGCAAATCTGAGCTCTCTTTACTGAGTTGCCATACATGTCTATTTATACAACTCTAACTATCTAGTCCATGTGCAGTGCCCATGCTGGCACAGTAACTAGATAACCTAACAGGGCTGACTCTGCGCCGGCCACTGCCTGTTCCTACAGTGCTGCAGGTGAGTCGTGCGGCGCCTGCACCTACAGCGGCTACTGTATCACAGCAGGGGGCAAAGTCGGTGCCGCCTTCCCTTGCTGTGTTCACACACAGCAGGCGGCTAAGTCGGCGCCGCCTTCTTCTGCTGTGTTCACACAAGGTGGAAGTAGATTAGCTAACATGCAAAGCATCGGTGGCTCTCTGTTTACTTTGGTTCCTAAGCATGATAATGCCGTCAGGGTCTCTGATTTCAGGTCTATTTTTCTATTAAATACATCTGTCAAGATCATCACAAAATTGCTGGCTAATAGAATTCAAGTGCTTCTTCCTCAACTCATTCACACAAATCAATATGGTTTTATTAAGCATAGGTGCATTCAGGATTGCTTGGCTTGGTCTTTGGAGTTTCTTCATCTCTGTCACCAATCAAAACAAGAGGTTATTATTCTCAAATTGGATTTTAAGAAAGCTTTTGATAAAGTTGAACATAACTTGATGCTTAAACTCATGGAACAAAAGGGCTTCCCTGACAGATGGATGACATGGATGCATTTGATTTTTACTACAGGCACATCAGCTGTTTTGCTCAATAGAGTACCAAGCAAGGTTTTTCATTGCAATAGGGGGGTAAGGCAGGGGGATCCCCTTCCCCCCCTTCTCTTTGTTTTGGCAGCAGATTTTCTGCAGGATCTACTTAATCTAGCAAAGGAGCAGGTCTTGTTCTCTCTACCACTGGTTTTACCCCACAATCAAGACTTTCCAGTGCTCCGGTATGCAGATGATACTTTCATCTTCATGAAAGCTGATGCTAGGCAGCTGTTCTTCCTAAAAGCTCTGCTTAACTCTTTTGCTGAGTCAACTGTTTTAAAGGTTAATTTTCATAAGTCTATGATGGTGCCAATTAATGTTGATGAGAGTAAGTTGGACATACTGTCAATGCAAGAACTCTAGGCTGCTCCAAAGGCATTCTACCTTTCACTTATTTGCGCTTACCTCTTAGTCTCATCAGACCAACAGTAGCTGACTACTGGCCTTTAGTTTCACGATGTGAGCATCGTCTAGTCAGTGTTTCTAGCTTCCTAAGTCAAGCTGGGCGCCTTCAATTGACTAATGCTGTTTTCAGTGCTCTGCCTACATTTGCTATGTCCACTTGTTTGCTTCCAAAGACGGTTATTAAGCAAATAGATAAGTTTCGAAAGCATTGCCTGTGGTGTGGCTCAGATGTTAATAATAAGAAGCCGCCTAAAGCAGCTTGGACAATGATCTGTGATACAAAGCAGAATGGTGGTTTGGGAGTCATTAACTTACAAACACACAATCAGAGCTTGCTACTGAAGAACCTGCATAAGTTTTTTAATAGAATGAACATTCTATGGGTGCATCTTGTTTGGATGGTCAGGTACTCAAGTGGTAGGCCACCAGCAAGAACTTGCAAAGGGTCCTTTTGGTGGCGTGATATTCAGAAGTTGCTACCTGCTTTCAATGGCATGGCAATGCCCATACTTAATGATGGGTCCTCTTGTTTCTTCTGGTTAGATTCATGGAATGGTTACACCTTTAGCACCAGCATGCCAGAGCTCTTCTCCTTTGTAAAGAATAGATACATCATAGTTCAGCAGGTTTGTCAATCCACTGACTTCCATGATCTCTTCCATCTTCCATTATCTGAAGAAGCATTTCAGCAGTACAATCAGCTTTTGAACATTGTGCAATCTCTGGACTTACATGGTGGTTTCGATTTTTGGTCATATATTTGGGGTTCTAATATCTTTACCTCAAAAAAAGCATATGTGCAACTTACTGGTTCAAGGCAAGTTCACTCTATTTACTCTTGGCTTCGGAAATCCTGCTGCCAAAACAAAAGAAAATTTTTCTTGTGGTTGTTAATCAAGGACAGGCTTAGCATGAGGGATCTTTTAAAATGAAAAATAATGGTGCTGGATGATTATAACTGTGTTCTCTGTAATTCAGTCCTGGAAGAATCCCTCATCCATCTGTTCCTAGATTGCCCTTTCTCGATATCTTGTTGGGCAACTGTTGGCCTAGTCATTCATCAACCAGCAGACCCCCTTGGAACCTTGGAGTCCTTCAAAACTCAGTTGCACCTTCCTTTTTTCATGGTTTTTATAGTAACTATGAGCTGGGCTATTTGGTCTATTCTAAACGATGCTATTTTCAGGCAAATTCAACCTTCGATTCCCCACTGCAAGGCCATCTTCAGAAGAGAATTTGCTCAAGTTATTCTTAGAGCAAAAGATAGTTTAGCAACTTTGTTTACTCAATGGCTAGAAGCTTATGTGTAATTTTGCATATTTTCTTTGTCTCCTTTTTTGTTTCTTGAGGCTATTTGTAAGACATTTGTTTTTCCTTAAAAGTTTAGTAAAAGCACAATAGGGAGGGCACCCCCTCCTGTTTCCCTCAAAAAATTAGAAACTGATACTTTTACGTATTTATGCAAGCACTACTAGAGAAAGGATGATCACCGCCAGGACTTTCACCGCTGGTTATCTGAGAATCGGCGGTGATACATTTCACTGCTGGTTTGACATATGATCCGGCGGTGAAAACAGTGCCTCTTTGCTAGAGGCTCGTTGTTCTCCTTCTCCTCTTAGTCTACGACCATCTCGTCGTTGGCCTCCTCCTCGTTCGGTTGTGGTGACTGGAGATCTCCCACTATCTCACCATACCACTGCTCGTCCTCCATTGTTCAGGGAGACTTTGGCGGGCTGTCTTTGCTTGAGCCTGGCTTGCTGTTGCTCTCCCAACGTACTGATTCTTCCTCGCTTAAGGACAAGTTTAGGATCATAGTTCATCTATCAACATGTCCTGAGTAATATCTTTTCCAAGCTGTCGAATAATTCTTCAACATACGATGCATACAGTCAATGCAACCAAGTATGACCGTACCAGCCATCCTCTCTTCTTATTTGAAGCCAACAACCTCCTAATGTCCCCAATGTTTTGTGTCCTCATGTAATGCTCTCTGAAGCCAACAATAAAGTATTTGAATCTATCAACGTAACCTCCATGCTTGTTTTTGCACCAACACTCGTACACCAGTTTATCCATGCCTAGCCTGCATGGATGAGGATTTCTAAAATTGTGATTGCTAGTGCGAAGTGCAACATCGGTTGGCAATACATGTCTCTAGGTCCATTAGCAAATGCTGGTCGCACTTTCCAGATTTTATGCCGCTAGCTAGGTCCACACTTCTCTAGTGGCGCCCCAATTTTATCGCTGGCCCTGGTGGCTTCCTTCCTCACGCTGCCCTTCCAAGAGGGCCATGATATAATAATTCAGTAAATTTTGAATCCTGTCTTCAATAGCTTTGCTTTCTTGTATAAATTACTGTCCTTAAGGTTTTTAATGTGTACTTTTATGTATTAACTCACCCAAGTCCTGCTTGCGCCATCCATAGGACTAAACCTTATATGAAACAAAGAATGTTATTCCTAACAACCATGTAGATGTCATTAGGATCATTGATCTTCCAAGGACGATGTCGCAGTAGTGCTGAGATTGGGTAGAGCACCAATAAGGTAAAGTTTACCTATCAGCATATGATGAACACGTGAAAATGATGGATATAAACCTGATAGGGCAGCAGTGATAATGATTTATATCAACATGTTTATTTTGAGTACCAGCATCCTCACCCCTATAATAGGTGCCAAGCTAGATTGAGCACCTCAAGCTTCTTCACCCACACATCATCTGAACATTTGCATGAGTTTCGCCCTCTCTGCTCCTTGGAAAATCCTCATGGAAGGCAAAGGACAGCTCAAGTGTTTCATCACCATTCTCCTCGTCCTGGGTCTCATCCTTGAGCAGTCCCAGGTGGAAGCTAAAGCCATCTGGTGCTGCACAAACGCCCACCAAAAATACCATTTTAACCGGTGCGTTGACTTGGGTATCGGTAGTGTCGAATATTGTGGAACTGGTACAGGTTGCGTAGTGATGGATGTGTGCGGGGGCGAATGGCCGGTGCCTTCTCGTAAGAAGAACCTCTTGCTTCACTCTTTTCATTTTGTTACTATTATAGTATCACTATGTGACATTATATACGGAACTCCGTTGATATGAAACAATGGCTTTCAATTAATCTGCAGGTGATGCATCAGTTACCATGGATATTGCATAAGAAAGTGCACGTACGCGATGGGGTTGGAGATTTCATGCCAAAGTGATGAATTGAGTGTCTGGTTATTGTTATCAACTTGTCATATATCCAAGTTCTGCAGCATGCCTTCTCCGTTCATTTGTCTTCTGATCTATTTTTCGTATTTTCCAAAGTTTGTTCGTCTTCGAGGTGTGTCTGTGCCTTCGGATATATAGTAAAAAATAATGTCACCATCAATGGTGGCTTCACTGTTTGTCTCTATTCCTGTTTTTTAGTCGTTTATATGTACTCGTTCTGTCTTGGTGGAAAAGACTTTTTTTTTCGCAAGGAACAAAAATTCTCATATTGAGAATTATCATGCATTAGGATATCTGCTACCACCAAATTTTAAAATATAGAGACAAAGAACAAACGGCAGTAGATGTTCTACGGTCCAAATGAAACCGGATCCAGTATTAATCCACCATACAATTCGATGCTGTTACCTCATCAATCCAGTGGTTGCACATATGGATAGATCTGCTTCTATTACCTTGTTCACCTACACCAAAGGAGTCACACGCCGGAGAAGACGGCCACGCTGTGGCTACGACCTCTCCCTTCTCTTTCCTATCACTCATCTTAGTGTAGCCATTTTTTTTTGGAGGAAAATCTTAGTGTAGCCGTTGTCCCTCTTCACACTATATGGCTTTTTTATTTGGCCGGCATGGCGGCACGGCATCCTGCCCTGCGTGAGCAAACAGCACACCAGGCTAGCGGCAACATGGCTGGCCCGGCGCTCTGGCCCACCTGCTCGCTTGCCCGGTGGTGATGCCATGCGGCGTTTCTCACCCGACAGTGTGACCTTTTTGGCGATGGATTCATGCAACGCAAATGTGGAGAGGTCGGCTCTTTCCTTTGCTGGAATAAGCTGTGCCACGTTGGCGGTGTGTGATGCCATATACCGGCCTTGCCCTGTCCACGTGAAGCCCATAGCCGGAACCCTGGGTTTTGCTGTACCGAGCACGTAAGTCAACGACTGAGGTAGCGGCCGAGGATGATGAAATGAAAATTTGACTTGGACAGGGGATTTTCTGCTGAAATCATGGCCCCGTGGTGGCCACGTCGGCTCCTAAGTGTTCAACTGTCTATTTTGGACTCGGATGTCACTTAAATATATCATGGAGCTAAATAGACGATTTCATAGTTTGCAGATCCAAACAGGAATCGAGTAATACTTTAAGGATGAGCTGTGCAATTTACTCACGTTTGTTTATTACGCACGTCCGTTACACAAAGCCTGTTTGTTTGTTTATTACACACGCGCATCAGAGCATCATACCATATCCGAATGGGAAAAGCAAAGAGAAAAAAGAGACTACATAGACTATGATGAGACCACTATGAATTGGCGAAAAAAAACACCATGGCTACCACTTCCACGGTCTACTATGCCGGAACTACAATTATGTACTATATAGATATTTTTTTTTTGGTAATACTCACTTGTAAGGACGACGCTACAAATGGAAATGGCTTGTGCAGACCGGCTAGATTGTGATGAGTCTGGGACAGAAAACCTGACTGGTCCAATTTCACAAGATTGCAATAGCATGGGAATAATCGGACGATCGCAATTAGCAACCCATCGGAGTCTGGTTTAACTCTGTGGTACCGTCGGCGTTATGTGTCAGTGGCCAGACGTGCATTAATTCTCGAGAGCGATGAGGTTCCCGGAACACCGGGCATGTTGCTGTCTGGGACCGGTTGTGGCAGGGACAGAGATGTACCTTGCATGATGTGCCTGTCTGGGACTGGTTGAAAAAGTGATTTTCCCACAACCGCGTCAACTACATGTGAATGCAAAATCGAGCCATCGCTGCTGGGGAAAAAAAAACACAACGATTGCGCTAAACCTGGTCCCGGTTACAAAATTGGCCGTCAGTTGGCGACAATCTAATTACTCGCGCTATGGCATCATATAAAATCCCTTCTACTCGTTCACATGCCGTATAGTCCTCTGTTCCTTTTCAAGTTTCGCCCTGATTTTTGTGCTACTGAAACTTACATGTAATATCTGTATCTCCAAACACTTCTAAATTTTTTTATTTTCTGCAATATTTCATCCACATGTTAAGTTGGAAATCTAGTACGTGATTAATGTACCATTTGTTCAATTTTTTTTGTATAATATTAAAATGAATCTAGGTTATAGAGTACACTCTTAGTTAATATAGTGGGATAAACACTCGTTACAGTCATGTATCCTATAAAAATAGAGAGCACTAAAAACTAAATTACCAGTACTGAGCCAAAATGTACAAAATTAACTTAACTGGAATTTACAAAATTTAATAGTAAGGACTACTAAACGAAATTAAAGTGAATTCTCAAGATCATTGGATTCTAGTTGGTTAAAGGCACTAGTACAGAAACGGGCTTTACTCCCGGTTGGGAAACCCCTTCAGTCCCGGTTTCCCAACCGGGAGCACGAATCCGGGACTAAAGGCCCCCTCCTTTAGTCCGGGTTTCTCGCCCGGGACTAAAGGTGTCCCGGTTGGTAAGACCAACCGGGACTAAAGAGGCCTCCTGGCCTGGCCACGTAGGGCGGCCCTTTAGTCCCGGTTGGTATTATCAACCGGGATTAAAGGTTTCCTTTTTTTTTCTTTTTTTTTGTTTCTATTTTCAATTGATGATTCATTTTGGTTTTCAAATAGGTTTTCGAATACGCATTCTACGCTGCTAATAATATACGTATTCTACACGTATATAATGTTCGAACATTTTGTACAAACTAAAGTGTGAAACTAACTTATATATTACATTCATATACATATATTGTACGTTATTTTATGTACATATAATATGTATATATATATATATATATTACAAATAAAGCTTGCATTGTATATTCTATCATATCCTTGGGATAACAAATTCAATCTATCTGGTTTGGCTTCCATGTTTCGTTGACGTCATTGTAGAACTCGCCGGCGGGGTTGAGGACCTGGTCATTAAGAAATCCTGCTATGGTCTCTTGAATTACTTTCAGTTGGTCACGTCGTATGACTTTTTCCTTCAACCATAGAGTCTTCAATAAAAGTTAAAGGAAAAGTATATATATATATGTGTGTGTGTGTTGGTCACGTGATTACTTATATATATATGAGCAACAAAAGAAATTGTGAATATATGAATATATTTATATAACGTACTTTGAGGATCTCTTCCGGAGTTCTTTTTGCGTACGCCATGATGAACTCGCAAACATAGTATCCGCAGTAGTTGTTCCCCTGTTCTTGCCTCAGAACCCACTTTTACGAGAAAAAAAATCCGGTGAATTAAAAGCATGCATGGTGTTAATTGAATTATATATATATATATATATATATATATATATATATATATATATATATATATATATAAATGTAGCTAGTACTTACTTTGTGTGCGATTACATCCAGTGGCGCTTTGCAATGTTTCATGTGGTGTTCCTCAATGAAACTTTTTCAAACACTGCGTCTAATAAAATAAAAAATTATTTTGGCCTTTAATAATTGTTGTAGTTAAGAGATCGGGGTATATATAGTTGCTAGAGAGACCAAATTACCCTTGGATAATATCTATCATGTCTTGGTACTCTGTTTGCTCTTTTCTTAACGAGTCTAAGATGCTCAACCGACTATTGGCCATATCGATGACCATCAATATCCAGTGATTGCTGCATATGTTTTTATACACAAATATGATCGACATTAACTAGAGTCAACATATATATATGGAAGATAGCTTAGCTAGTAAGCAAATAATTGAACAAATGTCCATATGATCGACATTAATTATTTAACACTCACTTGAATTTGTAGGGGAAGAGTATGTCCTTGTTTTGTTGGTTCACTAAGAACCTCATGAGATTTTTCTCGAGTTCAGCTTTCCATTGAGGCGGGGGATTAGGGTGTTTGAATACGACATTTGGATCAACGAAACCAACATCATTATCCTTTCTCTTTCTGAGTTCTGTCATCTCATATCTGCATATATAAAAATATAGTGTGAGGATATAATATATATATATATATATATATATACATGTAGCTTTATATATATACACTTTAATAGTAGAAAATAATCACACTTATAGACAATAGCAGCTAATGAGACTTTTCTCGAGAGAGTCCAGGTGGCATAGTTGGTGTAATTCTTCAAACTCGACATATATAACGTCATCGCCACGGAAGTAATATTGGTTTCTAACTCTGACAGTAACAAAGGCCTCTCCCCATACACACGCCGCCATGTACCACTTGTTTAGCAGGTATATTTGCGTACCCAGTTTACCTAAGGCCTCAAGGTTGTATAGACTCTTTCCATGTTCAAATTTCTTCCAAGGATCCACTTTCGGAGCTTCAGCGAGCACTTGGGCAAGGTCCAAACCAGTTTCCTCGTAAAACCAAGCTAGCTCCTCAAAATCAACGTCTAAGTCTAAGTTCGAACCATATTCATTACGAACGACAAGAGGGGAGACTGATTGTTGCGATTGTTGTCCGAGTTGTGCAACACCTTTTCCTGCTCTAGTCTTTTTCTGCGCCACCTCAAATGACTTGGTGAGAGAGCGGTCGTAGTCCGATTTTGGCAGGGTCTTTTGAGATTCCCGCTTTTTCTGGTCCACCTTCTTTCTTAGAAGATCTGGAGATAGGTAGAAGTACGGTTTCTCCGGGTTCTCCCTCGCTTCTCGTTGCTTTTTTACTTTTTCGAAGAAACTATCCACTTCTTTTTGTACTGCAGCATTTAATTCCTTTTCACTTTTCTCGTAAGACAGTTTTTGGGGAATAACTGGATTAGAGGAGGCTTTCATCTTTGCCGGCTGGTGGGCCAACGGCTTCGATTGCGGGGCGGACCTCTTAGGAGCTGGCTTCTTCTTAGTCAT